CCAGCTGTGCAGGAATATAGGAGCAGACCATTCTGCCCCGAGAGTATATTCCGCCATTCAATGAGATCTAACTGCATTTGACTCATATCCCTCGGCTCATTATGTTTTAATCGTTCATGTATTGGCCATCCTCAACCGCACTGCTGTGGGTCTGGAGTCAGGATAGGCCTGAGGGACATGAGTGAACCAGATGGATTATCCCGACAATCGGCAATGGATTCGCGGTCATCATTAGACTGTTGATTCCAGATTTTTATTGAATTCAAATTCCACCATCTGCCGTGGTGGGATTCGAAACCCAGTTCCCAGAGCTTTATCCGGGTTAGCAGTCCAGTGATAATACCACGAGGCAATCACGTCCCCAAAACCTACCTCATATCTAAAATTAGCAACTGATCAACATCCAGTTTGTTGACGGCAGTTCCAAACATCTATCACCCTTTGTGTGTAGGAATGCTTCCTAACATCGTTACTGAAGTCTGACCTTAATTTATAGACACATAGAAGAACCTTCCCCCAACTGATGCGCATATGCACTTTGTTTACATTATTCCACACTATCATTTACATTCCAATGCATTTTCTCTCTCAATTTGCATCCATAATGTCTGGATCCTGCCAGAATATTTTCAATCTGAACCTACTTGCTTGCACATCTGGAGCAGCTGACATTTGAGCCAAGTCTCCTAGCTCCAAAATAAGGATGGTACCACTGTGCCACAAGAACACCATAACTATGCCACCTATCAAACCTGAGTGAGGAGCCTTCAATTAACCTGGTAATTCTGTCCAACTGTTATAAAGTCATAGAGTTATACAGCACAGAAACAGACCCTTCGGTCCAACCAGTCTACTCTGGCCATAATCCCAAATTAACCTCGTCCCACTTACCTGTGCTTGGTCCATACCGCTTCAAATTCCTATTCACGTACATGTCTAAATGCATTTTAAACATCGTAACTGTATCCACCACCTCCTCTGGATGTTCATACCACACACAGACCACTCTCTGTGTAAGAATAAAGTTGCCCCTCATCTCTTTTTTTTTAATCCTTCTCCTCTCTCGTTGGGCTCAGTCATTTACTCCTTGCCCCATTCCACAGCCCCACCCCCCACCCTATCTTCTGCATAAAAGCTACCAGATACTTCAGTTCTGAAGAAGGATTACACCTGATTTCTGTCCACAGATGCTGCCAGACCTGTTGAGTTTTTCCAGCAATTTCTGTTTGTGTTAGAAAACAATAAACTGCCTTTAACCTTTTCTTATTGCATTTTAGGCTTGTTTCAATCTGAAGGACTAAAGTTCACTGAGCGATTTTACTGTTTGCATTTGTTCCATTGCATTGATTTGTGGTCAAGTATCTTCCACGTTGGGAATGGGAAAGCTCCTGGATCAATGCTTCAAGAAAATAACTCTTAAATTTTAAAAGTCATGGATTGGTGACTCCATAAGTGTTCAGACACAAAGTTGAATTTATTTGCTTTCGATTCAGGATGTCCCAGGCCCCAAAGGCTTTTGTTGATCTTAAGTTTGAATGCATTCTCATGGGACTGAGTGTACACTTGGGGACAATTTAACAATGGCAGAATGGATGCGCAGTTGGGTGAAATGCGATGGCTCGCTGCCGTGTCGCACTCATAGAGGGAGCTCAAGATCCCGATCAACATCCAGAATGACCTTAACCATCCAAAGTGGGATGGTCATGGCTGAGCGGTGTTATCACCGGACTGTTAACCCAGAAGACCCAGCTAATTGTTGGGGATGTGGGCTCGAATCTTGCCATGGCATATTGAATTCTTGTCTTTGAAAGAAATCTTCACTTAAAAATCTAATGATGACCAGCGAAAAGCCCACACAATGTGCATTAGGGAAAGAAACTGCCATCCTAACCTGATCTGGTCTACTTGTGAGTCACCCTCTGAGCAATAAATGCCGACGTAGGCAGCGATGCTCTCATCTTGTAAATGAACGGAAAAGAAATTACAATGATGAGTTTTAGTTTCCTGTACCAAGAGTGTTAATTTCATATTCCGTGCAATTTATTTGTTTACCCATTGCAGGAGGATGAACCCAAGCTCCATCCTCTGGATATTGGCTGTCTTCTCGGGTAAGTATCATTCCATTATTTATAAACTTTACACATTGGTGTATAGCAATTGTGCCGATGAAGGCAATAGTGTATGGTGCAATAGACAAGCAAATTAGACTGAGTGCAAAGACACTGCTGAACAGTATCGCTTATGCTGTAATCTACTGCAACTTCATGATGACCGAGCTCGACTCATCCACTGTTGCTAAATTATCAACCTCTTTGCCTCGCATTTATAAATTATAGAGCACGGAAACAGACGTTTTAGTCTAACTTGTCCACACTGACCAGATATCCCAGTCTGACCTAATCCCATTTGCCAGCATTTGGCCCATATCCTTTAGCCCCACATGCCTTTTAAATGTTGTAATTGTACCCGCCTCCACTACTTCCTCTGGCAGCTTATTCCATACATGCACGACCTTCTGCAAGAAAAAAAGTTATCTCTTAAGTCCTTTTTAAATTTTTCCCCTGTCACCTTAAAACAATGCCATCCAGTTTTGGAATCCCCCACTCCAAGAAAACAGAAATTTCCACTTGTTAAATATTTGTGAAGATCAAAACCATTCCCTCCAGTTCCCCACAACTAACTCTATCTGTCTCCATGGCAAGTGTCTTGAGGATGAAGCAGAGCACAAAATCTTGGTGTATATATGACTTTGAGTTGAACTTCTTCATTGAGATTCATGTCTTCGGATCATTTACCACTCATTTCCACCTTCATAAAACTGCCTGTTTCCACCAAATCTCAATTCATCAGATGCTGGAACCATCAGAGCTGCTGTTGTTATATCTGTACTTGACTTATAAGCACTCCCTGCAGAGCACCCTCTGTAACCCTGATCTCAACTGAACCTCTGATCGTGCTGCCATAACTCTCACAATGTGCTCCCTCCCAACCCTGCTGGCAGAGTGTACGGTAATGTAATGTCTGCGCGAGACTAATGCTGTATCAACACAAGTACAAGTCCTAGCAGGCAAGTGGTGGAATTGAGATTCGTCATTGTCGAGGTCTGGAGTACCTGGCTAGTCTCAATGATGGTGACTCTAATAATTATTATTGATGGTTCATTAATGTCCTTTGTGGAAGGAAATCTGCTATCTGTACCTGGTCTGGGCTACGTGACCCATAACAATAGCATTGACTTTTAAATAGACTACCAAACCACACAGCTCAATGGCAGTTACGAATGGGCAACCAATATTGACCTTACTAGTGATACTCACATCCCCTGCAAAGTGTACAGTTCAGAAACAGGGAATTTGACCGAACCACCATTACTTCAAGTGTTTTACTGCAAATGAGCCTCTTCTCATTTTTTTTCCTCTCCTCCTACCATTTTATTCTATTCTCCCTCATGTCTCACTGGCTTTTCCTTAAATACATCCTTGTTATTCACCTCAACTCTTTCGGACAATTGAAAGTTTCCCAATTATCACTGGGGGCAAATTTTTTTTTCTTGAATTCCTTGTTGAACTTCTTCCTGGCTATGTTGAATTCATGGCCCCTAGTCAATTATGTTTGCTCATTCTTGAGTGTCTCTATATTGTGTAGATCAGAAGAAGGTCAGGAACGTGCACTTTAATTTACGTGCAGTCTAATCACCCGTTCATTTGATATAAAATTAAACAAACTCCGCTTTAGTTAATAACTGAATGCGCAGTCTGTTGTAAAGATTAATTAAATGTTACAGCTAGATTGTTGAAAATCTCCGGAATGCCCATTTCTGTAGAATAAAAGTCTTGTATTTAGCACCTTGATATTTATGTTCAGGACGTTTCCACAATCCAGGGTGAACAAAGGGAAGAAAGTGGTCACTGTTTTTTATACCCTGCATGAGTTGTCATCAGGGCTTACAGTGACATTTCCTATTCAATTTCAGTCTTTTCCTGGAATTGAGGAGTTGTAGGACATTTCACTCCTTTCCAACTGGCCTCCTTATCATTTACCATATTCCCAAATCTTATCATTGCGGAGTCGACTGCTTTGCTGTATTTACAATGCTTGACCTCTCATAGTTTTCTCAGTCAGAGAGTCGCAGACTGATTATAGAGTCATCCTTCCTTTCTTTGTCGTACCTCACAGATCTTGACACAAACCTCCTTAGGTCTTTACCGACAGTGGGGGATTTCAAGAGTAGGGAGCATATGAGGGGAGAGAGATTTAAAATGAACATGAGGGGCAATTTTTTCAGAGAGTGGTTTGTGTGTGGAATGAACTTGTAGCGGAAGTGATGGATGTGGCTACAGTTAAAACGTTGAAAAGGCATTTAGATAAGTACATGAATAAGAAATGTTTGGAAGGGTATGGACCAAGCGCAGGCAGCTGGGACTCGTTTAGTTTGGAATAATGGACTGGTTGGACCGAAGGGTCTGTTTCTGTGCTGTATGACTCTGTGACTCAGGAATATCAAAATAGCACATTGGGTCTCCTCTAATTAGGTGATCTCTGCGATAGATCACCACTGCAGCTCTTTCAAATAACAAGTCACATCTACGGTGCTTTCGTATCCGGCTTGTTGGAAACCAAGTGGAAGGATTTGCTGTTTTTTGTTGAAGTGCCCATAGAATGATGCAGCACAGTGAAGCCCATTCCGACCACCATGCCAGTACAAGGTTTCTAAAAACGCTCTTTTGTAATTGAACAGTAATCCTTTCCCAATGAAGGGTGCAGTCAGCTTCCTTGTTCAGACTGTAATGGAATCTGCTCCCACTGCCCTTTCAGACAGAGGACAGCATCTCACGGTTATCTAAACGTTGCTGCACATTTCACCCACAACCCACCCACCCCGCATTGAGCTGGTAATTTGTTTATTCGTTTTAACGTTGCCTCTCAAAGTTCTCACTTCCAATCACTTCCTCCCCTCTAAGTTTCAGGAATCGGCGCCGAGAAGTTCCAAGTCGTTCAGAAATTTCCGACGATTCTGGCGAAGGAGGGTCAATCAGTCCTCATCCCGTGCGAGTGGACAGGCAATGTCTCCCAGACAATAGGCTCTTTTAAATGGTTGAAGGATAGTGCGGAAGTTTCCAATCAGACAGCGAAGTACAGAGGGCGAGTGCACAAATCCCAAGAGGATTTCATCCACAGCCGCAAAGCCTCCCTCTTGCTGAAGGAGCTGAAAGTGACTGATTCCGGGATGTACAGGTGCAGCGTGAAATTCATGCAGCTGGGTGAGGAATATGGGAATGGAACACAGCTCACGGTGAGAGGTAAGCGATTCACTTGTCTGCAAATAGCCATGCGTGGCAGGAGGAATCAGTTCCGCATCATGACTGGTAACTTTTCCCAGGTCTTCCCGCCGATGGGGTTCTATTCAGTTCGAGGACGCTCCCGGTACCACAATTATAGAAAGGTACAATCTTACACAAGTAAGAGATGCCTTTGGTTTGTTTATTTGGACCGAGTCAAACTCCAATGTTTGTTTTCTTCATGGACAGAACCAGACTGCTTTCGTGACTTCTTACGTCCATTTTTAATGAATAAAGTATTTTTATAAATTTTGAAATATTTATGAAGTCAATAACGTGTAAACTATACATGGAAAGTTGTTACTATCGTGCCTTCAGTATTAAATTCTGTGTGGAGTTTGCACATTCTCCCCGTGTCTGCGTGAGTTTCCTCCCACAGCCCAAAGATGTGCAGGTTAGGGTGGATTGGCCATGTTCAATCGCCCATAGTGTTCAAGCATGTGCAGGTTAAGTGGGTTCGCCATGAGAAATGCAGAGTTACAGGGATAGGGTAGGGGGATGGGTCTAGGTGGGATGCCCTTCCGATGGGCCGAATGGCCTTTCTCCAAACTGTAGGGATTCCATTCTAAATTAGTTACGGAGCCATTATCAGCCTTTTGCACAATTTTTTGTCTCATACTTCCACGAGCATCCTGATTACCCACTGTCCCAGATTATATTAATCAAGTAGGAATCGATAATTTATGCAGGAGCCTGATTGTCGTTTTGAAAATTAACTGGGAGGAGTATATTGAAAATTGTAGAATAACAACTAATTTAATGTGAAAATGGAAGCAATGCAGTCACAGAGTCATACAGCACGGAAGCAGACCCTTCAGTCCAACCAATCCATGCTGACCATAATCCCAAACCAAACTAGTCCCACCTGCCTGCGCTTGGGCCATGTCCCTCCAAACATTTCTTATTCATGTGATTATACAAATGTCTTTTAAATGTTGTAACTGTTTCCACATCCACTGCCTCTGGAACTTCATTCCACACACGGACCACTCTCTGTGTAAAAAAAAAGAAAATTGCCCCTCATGTCTTTTTTAAATCTCTCTCCTCTCACCTGTAATATATGGCCCCTGGTCTTGAAATTCCCTATCCCAGGGAAAGGTCACCTACTATTTACTCTATCTCTACCCCTCATGATTTTATAAATTTCTATCAGGTCACTTTTCACCTCCGACACTCTGGTGAAAAAAGTCCCAGCCTATCTATCCTTTCTGTACAACTCAAACCTTTCATACCTGGCAACATCCTTGTAAATCTCTTTTGAACCATTTCCAGCTTAATAATATGCTTCCTGTAACAGGGAGACCAGAACTGGACACAGTATTCCAGAAGAGGAGCCTGATTTTCATTTTGAAAATTAACTGGCAAGAGTATTCTGATAATTCTGAAGTTGCAGGAGTAATAATTATTTAACTATGCGAATGGAAGCAATCATAATATTATGGAGTACAAAAGTGGAGAAAATATTCCTCTGTTGCTTGAAATTACACTTGAACCAAATTTGGAGTAATGCATGTGGCTTTAGATCCAAAAGGATATGTTCGCCTTGCGAGATCACAAGCCTGACTTGCTCGTGTGGCACTGCAGCTTGGTGTTTCAGCTGATGCACGGTTTTGAATTTTATAGACAGGGAAGAAATATTTCTTTCAGTGAGAGCATCAAAAACGATGGGACATGATCGGAAAATTAGAGACCAATAATTAAACAGTGAAGCAGATTCGAATACAAAAGAGAGTGAGATGACATGAGGAAAATTACGTGAGCAGTTCGAAAGGTTACTGAGAAAAGTGGTGGAACAGGAGCAAAGGAGTCAGATAGATGTGTTGTACGTGGGCCACATTCTGATCCAATGTGAGAAGGCTTACTAAGGAGTGCACAGTGCGAACAGGGGCCATGAAATGGCCTCACAGACTGTCTATTGCTGTCGCCTTCCTAAATAAGCTTGGTCGCATGCTTTCCTTGCTCTCTACATGTTACTTCACAACATTTCTGACCAACGGATCACAGACTCGTTCCTAATGCTCAACAACTAGGGCTACATCTTATTTAGCTCCTTCCGTGATATCTCTGACCGTGCTTGGCGATCTGCCATTCTTTACTCTTAACTCCTTCGGCATCTTCCAGGGGATACAAGAAGCGACCAGATTCACTTCACAAATTCTGCCATTTGTTTGTCACACTCAGCAAACACCCGCTTTATTCCCAACTGCTGATCAATTCACTAAGCCTGGGGAATTCGACATGGAAAGCCTGAAAATACTGAAACTTGAAAAGGCAATATTGATGGATATTGCAAGACAGTGTTAATAAAGGGTGTGCAAATTGTTGCGGCAATTTGAGTTCAGGTTCAGATCAACCATGATCTAACTCAATGATTGAATAGATGCAAGGGGCTGAATGGCGTGTTTCTTTTACCTGTGTTGTGCTCTGATTTGTTCTTTATGTTTCTTAGAGAAACCAAAAGGTAACATGACGCTATCGTTATTCCTGTTGATCGGTGCTCTGGTACAACTAGCTCTCGTGTTAATTGTTGTGCCCTACTGTGTGAAATTACACAGAATGAAAGGTAAGGACGTGTATTTTTTTGTTGTTTGGCAGATGGAATGGTTGTGAGATATCGTGTTGCAAACATTTACATTTGTATTCTTAAGTTTGGCGTATCTGATTGGCACTCTTATTCGCTTTGCCTTTATCTGTCTCTTGAATTTCCTTCTCCCAAGCTCGAACCATTTGCCATACTGTCTGTAACTCATCGTGTCTATCACCTGTGGGTCAAAATTCTCACGCACCTTCTCTCCCCCTTCCAAAGCGCACACTACTGAAGACCTTAACCAATTGGAGTGATCACCTCTAGTTCACCTAGTATGATCCATTTCCCAAAAACTTGAGTAAAATCAACCCATAACTGACCTGCATATGCAATCAGAGGACTACACCTATTTAAATCATCTGTTGGATCCCCTCTGTTACAACCTATCACAGCTAATATAGCTTCCTTCATATCTTCCAAATCTCCAATAGACACAGTAACCATTACTAATTAACTGTTCCAATTTAGTAGCAAACCATAAACACAGCTTTGATAAAAGGCAAATTCAGCAAACACATTATCTCACATGCAACTCCCAGAGCAGGCAGAGAATACCCAATTTTTGGTTATATCCAAGAGAAGGAATGAATAACTTTCACTTCTTCAAGACCCCAACTGCAACTGCTGAGAGCTAAAACTAAAAATCCTGGTTCTTTAAGAGCTTGACCTCACCCTCTCAGGTTGCTTCCATTATTCCAACTTTTTAAAAAAAGGCACCCAAGGCCTCACAAACTGTTAACTTTAGTGGCTTCCCAACTAGCCAGCTCTGCACCTCTGTTTTATCCCTCTCTTTAAAAAATAAGAAGAAAATAACCTTTTAAAGCCAGTGTATTATCACAAAATCATTTTAGCAATTTCCCCTCACTGCAGTCACAGACTTGATTGGGGAAGGCGGTGGTTGTGTGGGGGTGCTGAGGGATTCAGTGCCCCTGGAAAGGGAGGTAGGGGTCCCCAGTCATCGTCGCGTGCAGCATACTGCTGGGCATTCTTTTCCAGCTTTCCCCAATCCATTCCGTAATCACTCTGCCCCTCAGGCTGAACTGTCCCAATTACCCACTTAATTCTTTTCTGTATCAACAGCTGAGATTTTAATTTATCAATCCGCTGCTAGCATGTTGAACAGTCAGTCACGGAGGTTCCTCCTTCTCTGCCGACTTGATAGAGAAATTTAACAGCAGCCTGCAAATTGGCGCATTTTCCGTTCAGTTCATTGACAGTCTGTGAGGCCATTTCATGGCCCCTGTTCGCACTGTGCACTCCTTAGTAAGCCTTCTCACATTGGATCAGAATGTGGCCCACGTACAACACATCTATCTGACTCCTTTGCTCCTGTTCCACCACTTTTCTCAGTAACCTTTCGAACTGCTCACGTAATTTTCCTCATGTAATCTCACGTTGCCTTCATATAATATTTTATCCTCTCACTCTCGACCCGTTAACTGGTGCAAACAACTGACTATTGCTGTAGCCTTCCTAAGTAAGCTTGGTCGCATGCTTTCCTTGCTCTCTACATGTTACTTCACAACATTTCTGACCAACGGATCACAGACTCGTTCCTAATCTATTGCAATGCTCAACAACTAGGGCTACATCTTATTTAGCTCCTTCCGTGATATCTCTGACCGTGCTTGGCGATCTGCCATTCTTTACTCTTAACTCCTTCGGCATCTTCCAGGGGATACAAGAAGCGACCAGATTCACTTCACAAATTCTGCCATTTGTTTGTCACACTCAGCAAACACCCGCTTTATTCCCAACTGCTGATCAATTCACTAAGCCTGGGGAATTCGACTTCAAAACAACTTAAAGTCTCAGCTTATCAATGGCCACTCAGTGATGCCCGAAAGGAGTACTCAGACTTTTTTACTCAGATATGTGACAGACAAATGACAGGGAACTTCATTAAACAAGCTCTTCATTATTTTAACTTCCAGTCGTAGGAAGGATGTTATTGAGCTGGAGAGGGTTCAGAAGAGATTTACGAGGATGTTGCCGGGTATGGAGGGTTCGAGTTTTAAAGGAAGGCTGTATAAAAGCTGAGACTTTTGTCATTAGAAGTTGAGAGGTGACCTGACAGAGGTTTACAACATCATGATGGGTATGGATAGGGTAAATGGAACGGTGTCTTTTCCCATTCTATGGATTTCAAGACTAAGGGGCACATCTTTTAAGTTGAGGCAAGAGGGATTTCAATGAGGCACCAAGGGAAAATCTTTTCCACAGAGAGTGGTTCACATATGGAATGAACTTCCTGAAGAAATGGTGGATGGAAGCACAGTTACAACATTTAAAAGTCACTGAGAGAAGGACATGAATAGGAGAGGTTTGGAGGCGACATAAGCCACGAGCAGACAGATTAGTTTACGTTGGAATTATGGTCAGCGCGGACTGCTTGCCCGGAAGGGTCTGTTTTCATGCTGTATGGCTCTATGACCATGACTCAATAGAAGGCATACATTAGTTGCAACATTTAATTCTTACTTCATTTAACTCAAATTCAACGTTAACACAATTCATTTAAATTCACTTTATCTTATTTTGCTTAATTCATATTTAACCCCAATTCATACTTTAACTCAATAAGTTTGGCTTGAATCAAGTACGATTTGAGTGAATTGGCCAACATAGCTCTCAGTGCAGATATTGCCTTGTGATTCTTTATTTTCTCTGAAGGTCAATTCGAGGCCGGACTTCTCAAATTTGGTCTTGAAGGTTTCTCCTGCAAAAAATTCCTTTGTTCTGCTAACTTATCTCAAAAAGTATGCACCTCTGACAGAGACTTCTCTGACGCTCAACCAATGAATTGACCAAAGCCAGATCACATTGTGCAATCTCAGCTAATGGAGTTTATTGGTAAACAGCTCCCAAATAATTAAAGCAAAAGAAACAGCCACATTCCATATTCCATATAAAGTAGTAGTGGCGCCAGCATGTCGAGAAACCATCATGACACTTTCCTTGTTTGGTCAACACAGGAAACTGCAGGTCGCAACATGTCTTGGCTACAACTTTATCTGAGGCGAGAGTTTCAACGAGCTTGACCCCAATTCCCAGCGTGCTTAATTGTAGCTCTTAACCAGTGTTGTAAGTATTTCTGCTGCTGGCCACCTGACCACAGGGCATGCTGATTTTCCCATGGCAATCACGTCAAAAGTTAAAATATTAATACTTCTAAATGCATTACAACACAGAATATGTGCACTCTGTCCAACTGGACCATTCTGGCAGCGGTCTGAGCCCCCTCTCCCTATTTCAACATACTCTACACTGCTTTATTTCTTAGGTACTTAGCAGTTTGCCTCAACTGCTCCAACCCAAAGCAAAATTTTGGCCGTGCTGTTGTTGAATTAGTTTCTCCTTGTTGCATTTATTGTTGCATTTATAACCTCACGAACAGAAATGTTTCATCGATTTCTACCATGAAATGCTCTCAGAACTTGTTTTAGGCTGCCCCTTGGTCTATTCTTTCCGCTGATACATTTTGAGAGAAAAAATGAATTAAAGTCAATCATATCCATTTGCATTGTTCTTTATTTTGTCTGTCGTTTTTAGTGAATAACTTTGTGCAATTAATATTTTGAAGTGCAGACTCTACAGCTGCATGCACAAAACTGGCATCAATGAATAATGAGACTTAAGTAATAAGAAATGTTTTTTGTAATCCAATATTTTTCTTGTGTCCCTTTGTTTCAGGTGCTCAACGGGCTCAAAGGTGAGTGAGCATCAGCAGGTACACATTTACTGGTTAAGAAATGCATTCTGTTAGCATTTGAAGTGATTGAAAGATTTGTAGACAGTTTCGCAGTAAATTTTATTTCATGCAGATTGTCTGCAACCCATTTTCTGCAAGGATACAGGAGCCTGAAACACTCATCAGAGTTGAGACAGAGCTCCACGTAAACGCACCTGAGATGCCCCCATCCTACAAAGTTAAAGGTCAAAGTTTGGGAAGTTATAGTCAACCAGGAAAATCACCTTATCTCAACAGACATGATGGGTTGAACAGCCTTCACTCTACTTTAAATCCATCCACATTTCTGCGGTCAAATGTTATCAGCAAATGTGGTTGAGTTCTTCCTTTTCATTGTTTTGCAGACAATTCCAAGTTATTTCAGACATCATCTGCGTAGATGGTACGTAAAGCTGGTTTTGGTTATCTTTGAAAATAATATAAACTTCTATGGTGTTATTAAAAACCTCAGGATTACCATGATACTGAGTTTAAACTGGTTGAAAAATTTCCAGTTTGACACTAGAGTTATGATTCAGAAAAAAAAATCCCCAAACATTACAGTTTTCTTAACTCATTTAATAGCTTCCAGTGAATGTTTCTATTTCCACAAATTACTTACTTCTCAGTCAATGGCACCTGATTTAATCAAAGGCAGCACTTTATTTTCACTCTTCCATTGAACAGAAATCACATCTTTAGAGATAATGACAATGTTCTGCCTCTTAAGAGTTTTTTTTAGTCATGGTGTGCACTTACACAAGTTACAGGAAAGTAATGTTCTGTGGGAGAAGCAACTATACAATTCCAGGAATGTGGATATGAATATTACTGAAAAAATATACACTTTGTCACACTTGTCTTGTACCCATGAGGACAATTCACTAATGTAAATACTAAAGTAAAGGGAAAACATATTGTTTATCATAATATTGTATGAGAGAAAATGCTAATTGGTTGGCAAATTGCCTCTGACGGCAGAAGCAATGACATGTAGGACGAACTAGTTCTGGATGACCTAACAGTTCACTGCCAAAATTTCATTAAATATTCAACTCGACAGCTTGACCCTGATTGGTCAGGGCATTGCCCAACTGATAATCCTAAATTGGTTATCAGTGTAATTCTTCACGAATCAGTATTATATAGCAAATAGTTTCCAATCACAGAATCACCGTACTTTCGGACGCTGCATTGTGAGGTTTGCAAGTGCAGACGAGTTGAATACCTTTCTTGTTTCACTGAGTTGGAGGGATATTCAGTGTCATAAAATTCTCGAGGGCTACAGAGATAGGGCTGGAGAGTAGGACGAGCTGGGTAGCTTTATTGGGGCATGATAACTTGAATGGCTTCCTTCTATACGGTAAGATTCTGTGATTCTATGATTCTAAGTTCTGCCATTCGTTGGGACAAATGGCTGGCTTCCCTAGCATCAGGCCAACAATGAAATTCACATGCCACATTAATTAGCTGTGTGATAGGGAGAATGCCTTTTCAGCTTGGCAGGAAAAATGAAACAGATGTGCTCGCTATGACTGAAATTAATGATGTGGTATATGCCTTTCAATACCTATGTGATGCTCGACAAGTAAGCCATATGTTCGTTAGACAAAGACCAAATATCATATAAAATGACATATCCATTCAGTTGTTTGCCACAAGCAGGTGCTGACTATATGCAACCAGCCCATGTCGGCAAAATGCAGACCAAACATTAGATGTGATCCTGTGAATAAACAACATTTTCAAAATAATCTTCGGGGATATGCAAAACATAAACTTTCAATAAAATATGATTCTCTTCAGCTACAACTACATTATGTATGACCAAACCATTAATTGACAATGGATATTCACATTAATACAATTTAAGGGCTGCAGTGTGGGGAAGTGGGAGTAACACACTTGTGAAAGGGACAAGACAGACTCCATGGGCTGACAAACATTCTACTGAGCTGTATCAGCCTATTCTATGGTTCTATTCTAATTGTGACATGAATGTGTGAATACCTGAGATACTCAACTGTTGGATACATTGGGGTTGAATTTGGATGTGAATGGGACTACAGGACATGCTGGAAATTGTATTTTACTGACTGTTATACCAGCTGATGAACATACACTCCTATCAAAGATAAGATTGAACATTAAGCAGGAAAGTATCCTGCGGAATTTGGTGAAAAGATAGTTTTTCCTCTCAGACGACATCACTGTCTGTTGATTTTATTGAGGGGTAAGATTGTTTAGGGTATAGAGCCAATGTTGCGAATATTCTTGCTGGTTTTCACAATTGGCAGTTTGGGGTAAAAATGCAACTGTTTCAATGAAATTTCTCAAAATGCATAATTTGAATCATAGTGTCGTACAGCACAGAAACAGACCCTTCGGTCCAACCAGTCCATGCTGACCATAATCCCAAACTAAACTAGTCACTAGGCCCATATCCCTCCAAACATTTCCTATTCATGTACTTATCTAAACGTCTTTTAAATTTTGTAACTGTACCCACATCCATTGCTTCCTCACATGAACCACACTCTCTGTGTAAAACAAAAATGCCCGTCATATCTTTTTTGAATATTTCCCCTCTCACCCTAAAAATATGTTCTCTTGTCATTAAATCCCACACCCGAGGGAAAACACACCTGCCAGTCACCTTATCTGGACCTCATGATTTTATGAACCTCTATAAGGTCACTCCTCAAACTCCAGTGAAAAAAAGTCCCAAACGGTCCAACCTCTCCTTAGAACTCAAACCCTCCACTCCTGGCAACTTCCTGGTAAATCTCTTCTGAATCCTCTCTAGCTTAATAATATCCTTCTTATCATCAGCCAACCAGAACTGAAAACAGTACTCCGGAAGAGTTCTCACCAGCACCCTGTAAAACCTCAAACAGATGTTGGTTCTTTTAAAAGACAGTCAGTTGAATAAGCAAACACTCTAACCCAAAGGCATTTCATATGATTTATGAGCTGCAGTGAGTCACATGCTTTTATTTTAACATAAGGAAGCAACTGTATCAACGTTGCAAAACTATTGCTGGCCCTTGGGACTTAACTGATGAGTTAAGTAACAATCAATTTATACATTACAGTGCCCTACAGACAGCAACTGTAAGTGTTACTATCAACATTGGTTCATGTTGAAATTATTTACGGGAATACTGTTGAACAATACACTGCAAGGGTACCCTACTCTTCTTTGAAACATGCCAGGAAATTTTACTGACTGTGAAATGGTTTCTGTTCAATTCAATGAAGAACGTCTGACAATGCGGCACTCCCTCAGTTCCAGACAGAAATAAAAAGCCATTTTTCTGTTCTCCGATGGTGGATTATCACTTGAATCCAGATCTTTCACTATTTAGTGTTGCGAGCTGAGCACAACTGGAAGTATTAAACAGTCTTATGGACATACTTATGAGGTAGTATCTTATATATATTCATATATACGGTGGCTCAGTGTTTAGCACTGCTGCCTCACAGCGCCAGGGACCCGGGTTCCATTCCACCCTCGGGCGACTGTCTGTGTGGAACTTGTGTGTTCTCCCGATATCTGCATGGATTTCCTCCAGGTGCTCCGGTTTCCTCTCTCAGCCCAATGATGTGCAGGCGAGGTGGATTGGCCATACGAAATTGCCTGCAGTGTTCAGGGGTGCGTGAATTAGGTGGGTTATCGGGGGACGGGTCTGGGTGGGATTATCTGAGGGTTGGTGTGGAGTTGTTGGGCCAAAGGGCCTGTTTCCACACTGTAGGGATTCTATGACTGCAAGAAATTTTTTCCATAAACGTGCCTATAATGCAATATTGATAACAATTCCAGCAGATACCTTCCGTTATAGAGTCATAGGGTCATACAGCACGGAAACAGACCCTTTGGTCCAACCAGTCCATGCCGAACATTATCCCAAACTAAACTCGTCTAACCTGCCTGCTCCCAGTCCATATCCCCGCAAACCTTTCCTATTAATGTATGTTCTATATTTGCATTCTCCTGCTTTTGTCTTTTAGATATTCTAAAATTACCTGTCCTGGATGAAGTGCAGAATCTGGTAAGTAACCTAAAAGGAAGACAATCACAACACTTGAAATCTGCATTTGCAAATTAGGATTGAAACAAAATATACCCAAGTCCCAACATACAAAATCAAATACAAGGTTGCAGAAATATCTAGACTGTTCCTGAAAATGTTTGCCATTAAAGACCAGAAATAGATTTTGTTAAAAATAACTGGGAGGCTGACATTGCTCACTATTATACTCAATGTCTGATGCCTCGATTCAAAATGTAGTTAATAATTTGCTGTCAGACCTCCCACAATTCTCCACTGGCTCTGATATTGTTGTCTCATCACTGGGAGCAATTCACCAGGTTGAACTTGGGATAATTGATGACTAGTTTTCCAGTATAATGATGGCAGATAACAATTAAAGCTGCCGCATTGAGAAGTAAATGACCTGAGCATCAAAAAACACTGACAGACAACTGTATTGCTTCTGAAGAACTTTACAAGTATGAAGTCTCATTTCTGAAACAGGTAATGAGTTTTGGAAATATCATTGTATCTGTACTTAGAGAGTGTGTATACGTTTTAATCCTAACTGTGTTTCACAATCTTATTTCACTTTATGTTCTTGATTTAAAACCAGTTAATACACTTTGCTTTGTCTATTACGGTTTGCATTCTGGGATTACAACTGGCAGCATAGGTTGCCGGTATCCAGCAGATGATATTCAGTTCCATTGTTGTCAACAGGATTAAACATCAAGGACAGTGATTAATCAGAAGTCAATTCCATCCCATCTATTTTAAAGCCATTTGTTAGAATATCTATTATCCCGATGCGAGTCAGCATGGATTGTTCAATTGGATAGTTCCTGGTCTTCCTAGATATGTTAGACTACCTGGAGATAGCACTCAGCTTAAAATTAAATTAAAACTTCTCTGCAGACTAAAATCTGTAAAACAAAATTGTATACAACCGTAGGTGAGACGATGAATGATCGCCATTGATCAACTGTGAAACTCAGACATTACATTCTGCATCGATACAGCTGATACCAAATAACCATAAGGAATATGATCATCTTTCACTTCTCATTGTTCACAGAGAAAACATATTATTTCAATGTTTTACCAAAAGGAAGTCGTAACACACATTCATTGGCAAACAATAGGAAGAGTATGGTTGAGCCTTATTTGGAGACAGTGCCAAACGTTATTCGAGTCTCCAATAACAAGCGAGAGATTGTTTAATCTGTGGTGAGGATTACCTTAAAAATCTACATTTCACTGATCCCTACTAGTTAAATTGTACATTTTAGAATCAATATCCTTGATATTCTGACTCCTTCCAGTCATATGAAGACATTTACTTCGTGCAGGAGAATATTTGTCTCTATGGGCTCAACATGACATGAAATTTCTGCAATTTTATTAACAACAATATCAAAACAGTGATCTGTTCTAGCATGTTGGTGACATGGGAAGCGTGCCAGTGAGACTCTTTGGTTCCAAGCATGCTGATGATGTCATAAGCATGGGAGCTAAAGGGATTTTCTTACTCTGTTCTCACAATGTGTTAAACACAGTTGGGAGATTTCTTTTTAGCAGTGCTAACTTAAAACACAGTGAGAGGAGTTTCATGTCCAATTTTACTGCATTTATTTTAGGGTGGCTACATTTGAAGCATTCATTGGTGCAACACCAGTTCTATTCAGTTCTGTTTAACTTGCAGCAAAGCACAATGTTAAATGGAGCACACACGCATGCAGGTGGCATGGGGACTCAGTGGTTAGCACTGCTGCTTCACATCCAGGCAGGGACCTGGTTTTAATTTGGGCAACAGTCTGTTTGGCATTTGCACATTCTGCCTGTGTCTGCGTGGGTTTCCTTCCACAGTCCAAAGATGCGCAGGTTAGGTGGATTGGCCACGCTAAATTGCCCATAGTGTCCGTGGATGTGTTGATTAGGTGAATTAGCCACAGAAAATGCAGAGTTGTCGTGGAAGGGGTTGAGTCTGGGTGGGATGGGATGCTGTTTGGAGGGCCAATTCAGATTTGATAGGCGGAATGTCCTGCTTCCGCACTGTGGGGATTCTATGTATAACTTTAATTCTAACAGTAGAGAATTATGATTTTTTTCTTTGACAGTTCATAGATGTATGATTGTGTCAATGTATTAAAATGTCTTGGTCCATAAAAATGTCCATTTCATTGGGTAATGTTTTATTTTATGACAGGATCAAGACGAGAGTGTACCGGAATCTGATGCACTGCGCATGGTGTGGAAGTATTTCACTTTGTTCAATTATGTTACCCTTCATTGAAAACAGAATAATCATTAACAGAACTTAATTTGTGTTCCGAAGGTTGAAAACAATGAAGACACATCGATTTACACACCTATGGAAAGGTGAACCTTAATTCTTCATTGCAACAGTTACAGTTACAGACCACAGCTATTCGTCTTCCAGTATCGCGTGTGGAAAGCATAGTAGTCAGCTGAGGCATGTGAAAGCTATCTTAGTGTGGTTATGGGTGGCATTGACGTCAACGATGTAGAAATGTATGGGCTTTCCTGCGTTGCCCCCGACAACTGAACTTTAGGTCTCCTAGAGAAAAGCAGCATTCCCTGTTACATTTCATGGGGAGTCTATTGGATACGCTAGTAACTGATGAAAAAAAAATAACCTTGCCTCATTCATTTGCAACCAAGTAAGCCTTGGCGATTATCGGAAGACACTTGGTTGTGCTTTCCGAATTCAAATGTAGTCAACGATATTAAAACATCAAGTAACCATAAGGAACACGATCATCTTTCACTTTTCATTTTTTCACAGAGAAACAGTAATATTTCAATTTTGCACTCGTGGAAAGTCATAACACATGCCCATTGGTGAAAAATACGACGTGTATGGTTTAATCCTGCTGTGAGGATTGCCAGAACTCTCCAGCAACAAACAGTATTTTCAGCACCCCCCATCCCATGTGCAAAAGCAGCTGGTAGACCCGACAGTGGAGCGGGGTCTGCTCAGACACTTATTTCAAAGACGCGGTCCCAAGTGTTACTAAGTTGATCGTGAAACCATCACTGCACATCAATTTGGCCTCTTTAGGACACTTGGGCATATATTTTAAGCTCGCAAACCAGGAGGGAGAAGATCAGCAGTTCATTCTGCATTCCATCAGATTTTCTTCCCAGTCAATTCAATGCTGTTCTGGAATCGCTCCTCTGGTGATTCCCAGCAAGTTGACATTCACCCCAACTATTTTACTCCATGCAATTTGTTTCATTTTCTCCCATATCCCTCTCTGTATTTGACTGCTTCTTGTTGGGTTTCTAACGAAGTTACGTTCATGTAGAAGTGTTATTGACAGAGCAGGAGCTAATTTTAACCGAAGGCAAGATGAGCAGAAGAGCTGGTGGAATCCCAGTTTTACATTGTAAGCTGCATCACCCCATACTACGGAGTTAAATCAGTTGCAATGCGAAACAAATGGAGCAAGTGACCTATCATCTGGGATGTTGAGGGGATGGGTGCAGGTAGAGATTTAAGGAGAAGCAAATTTTACTCCACATGACATTAGCTGGAGATTAATATTGAGTAGGATACAAAATTGGTTTTCCCTCTGAACCTCTGGTCTTCTGTCGGTGGAGAAGGTGACAATTTCTTCCAGCGTCTCTGAAGGCATCTTGCTGTCATAGAGTCGGACAGCATGGAAACAAACCCTTTGGTCCAACTATAGTCGTCGCTGACCATATTCCAAAATTAAACCAGTCCCATTTGTCTGCATTTAGACCATATCCCTCCAAACCTTTCTCCAAACGTTGTTGTAACTGTACCTGCATCTATCACTTCATCTGGCAGTTTATTCTGCATACGAATGACACTGTCTTCAAAAAAAAAGTTGCCCCAGTCATTAGTATGAATGTGTGGTGTTCTTTAGGATTTCAATCTTTTGTCAGTGCTCACCATACAGGACACTGTTGTCGGTCAAGGATAAATAAGCTAACATGTCCTCTAGTTTGGCCACTATTCATGGAGTGGATGGGTTTGTTCTAATTAGGAGCTGTTCAGAATTCTTCAGAAGTGGTCTGCTACTGTCATGATGGGGATGGGGGGTTTACAGAGGGAGAAGTACACTAGAGGGGATTAGGCCTCAGCAGTGAGGGCCCAGATTAATTTGTCCATTTACTCAGTTTGTCCCCTTTAATAAGAAGCGAACTGTGCAAATATTCAAGTCTCAGCTGCTCCAGAGGAGTGTCACAACATGTCTCAGCTAGTTGATTAAAAGTATCTATAAAAGAAAAGTTGAAACAAGTGTGATTGATTGCATTCTCTGTAAGAACAAAATAGCATTATCTCTTTTTTTTTTTTGGTTTCTGACAGCCTAAAGACCTTCAGCAACTCAACAGTGACTGAGATGGGCAAGTAACTCAATTCATTTAAATGTTTGGAAGAGCTGGTGTGAAATTAGAAGTACATCTTTGTGGACTAACATAACCCACTAAAATCTTGCTTTTATCTTTCTTACCATATATTGGGAGATCTTCTGGAAATAGATACTCATCATGGCTTTTCAAGTGGTAGTGATATGGTAAGGTTTTGCTGTGGTGTCATGACAGTGCATTCATCTGCACCTTTCATGCTCAGAAGCGATTTACAGCCAATGAGGGACTTTTGAAGTGTAGTCATTGATGCAGTGTAAAAAACACAGATTTGTCTCAGGCAGTGTCCCATAGGAAGTAATTGATAATGATAAAGTCCAATGTCACTTGTTCAGGAAAGCAGTCAGTCAAACCGCTAGAATGAACTCTCCTGCTGTTCTTCAAAATTATGTCATGGGATTTTTTGAATTTGATTTATTATTGTCCTGTGTGCTGATTTACAATGGCCTCCTCTACATCAGGGAAACTAAGCGGAGGCTTGGAGACTGCTTTGTGGAACACCTACGCTCTGTTTGCGACAAATGACAACACCTCCCACTCGCGAACCACTTCAACTCCCCCATCCCACTCCCTGGTTGATGTGTCCATCCTGGGCCTTTTCCAGTGTCACAACGATGCCACCCGAAAAATGGGGGAACAACTCTTCATAGTCCACATTGGAAGTCTACAGCCCAATGGTCTCAAAGCGGACCTTACAAGTTTCAAGATCTTCCCACTCCCGAACTCATACCAAGACCAGCCTCCCCTGTGATCCCTGCCTCATTGACCTGTCCGTCTTCTCTCCCACCTATCCACTCCTCCCACCTCACTGAACAATCCCCACCACTACCTCCCTGCTATCACCGCCCTCCACTCTATTTATTTCAGAGCCCCCTTACCCTCTCCCATTTCTGAAGAAGGGTCCCGACCCGAAATGTCAGCTTTCCTGCTTCTCTGATGCTGCCTAGTCTGCTGTGTTCATCCAGCTCCACACTGTTATTGCAATGAAAAGTGTTGTCTTATGTGTTTTATAGGTAGATGGTACTATACGAGTGCAGCAGGGTAACAGGACAGAGTGCATGTTACGGAGTTACAGCCACAGAGAAAGTGCAGAGACAGATCAACATTAACATTTCAAAAGGTCTATTCAAAAGTCTGATAACAAGGAAGAAGCTGTTCGTGAATCTGGTCAAATGTTTGTATCTTCTGCCCAGCGGAAGAAATGGAAGAGAGTATAACCAGGGTGAGAGGGGTCTTTGATTATGGTGGATGCTTTCCTGAGGCAGCGGGAAGTATAGGTGGAGTCAATGGATGGAAGCCAGGTTTGCATGGTGGACTGGGCTGTGCTCACAACTCTGTAGTTTCTTGCGGTGTTGGGAAGAGATATATCATGCTGTGATATATCCAAATCACCTGCTTTATATGGTGCACCTATAAATATTTCGAAGAGTCTTTATGGACATGCAGAATTTCCTTCAGCTCCTGAGGAAGCAGAGTTGCTGTTGTGTTTTTGCATCCACGATAATTTGCAAAATTCGGTAGCACTCAGGTAGCATTCATGAGTCTAGATTTGAGATTAGAGTGAAGCTTGATTCCATAATCTTTTGACCCAGTAGTTCTCCTGGGTGAATGCAGTAGGCAACTTGTTTCTGCTATCTTTATTTGAATTAACGACAGAGAGAGAACAGTAAATTCTCCACAGTGCATGGCCTAACTATAATATGTAGAATTGATTTGAAGTGCCTTCACACAATCTCTAGAGTGCTTGGTTCATAACCGAAAAATAATCATAAATCACCACAAAACCATTTATCCCCTTCTCTGTTCTGAGAAATAGAAACATTACAATGAATTTGCTTCCTTGAGATTTACATTGGACCCACGCTACATCTAATATTGAATGTAAAAACAAATAGTGGCTTTCATTTGGCCAATGACAAAGGAATAAATTTTCAGAGTAACTATCTGCCTCAATATGCAATGTCAAACGAAAGGTACTACCTGGAAATTGTAACAACATGGCAGATGTAACTTGGTAATTATTTTTATTCATCAATGGGATCACGACACTGTTGACTAGGCCAGCAATTATTGCCCATTCATAATTGCCTAAAGGGCAGTTAAGAGTGAACCATATTGGCTGTGAGTCTGGAGTCACATGTAGATGACAGCAGCTGAGGATGACAGTTTCTTTCCCTGAAGGACATTCGTGAACCAGATGGTTATTTCCTGACAATTGACAATGGATTCATGGTCATCAACAGATTCTTAATTCCAGATATTTATTGAATTCAAATTCTACCATCTGCCATGGCTGGATTTGAACCCAGGTCCCCAGAACACTACCTGGGTCTCTGGATTAACAGTCCACCCATAATACTGCTAGGCCATCCTCTCCCTTCGCTTTTAGACATAGCGAACACTAATCGCATTTGTTTCACAGTTTACTACCTGTTATTTTAAGTCATTGGCAGTCATGATGTAAGCCAACTGTTGTTTTTTTAAAAAAAAATGATTGTCAGTTAGAAATTATATAAATATAGGTGTGTTCATTGGTATTTGTCTCTTTTCCATCAGTTTGGCTCAATTACTGGCGTTCTTGCTTCTGAAGCAAGGTATTGCAGAATTAAGTTCTCCTTCAAAAATTCCACAGATAATTGTGATTTACTGCAATTGTGTGGGAATGAGGGTATGCTAAGATGCAAGATATTCCACCTCTCAAGATGTCCACTCTTCAGGGTAAACGTTGTCGGCATTTTGACAAACCTCATTCATTCCAGCATGTTGCTTTCATAAAACATATTGAGGCATCCAAGTGCATATCAATGAGATGAACTGGTCATTTATGTTACTTTACTGCTGTATCTGGAACTGTTATTTTTAAAGTAAACATTCGTAACGATAATGATTTCACTCAATGCAATCACCATTAATTTTTATTCCGTCATGAGATGTGCATTGGAATTGGAATTTTTTTGCCCTATTCCT